GGAGATGTGGGGGGATCCACGACTCACCGTTTTCTCGCACACCACCAGCAGATTGCAAGAGAACACAGCAGGATCCCAGCTGGCACGGCTGCTAGGGCTATCACTATGCCTACCATACAGCCTGCTCCACGGCAGAAAATACTTTCTATCTGCTCGTGGGCCTTAGGAGCTTGTTTGGGTGTTTCTCCAGCCTTTACTGCAAGARGAATTCAATATGTTAGCGTGTCCTCTGCCAGYTTACCACTGAACTTGCAGCAYGTTTGATAACACCAGAATGTTCTGWTTTCCCCCCAGTGCTGGTCCTGGAGGCACACTCCCACCCTTTGGGGACAGGCTGTCTCTGGAAAGAACTCAGATGGTCAGGAGGAGAGTGAAGTKGGGGAGCACCACTGCTTGGCCAGTCACTCCTTTGACAAAAACTTGCCAAGCTGTTAAACCTGCAACTCCCTCTCTGGGCCAGCTCCCATGGCCCTATGGGATGGAGTCAGGCCTTCACAGGAGACACTTGAGCCCTACTCTCTTTGTCTGCCTTTTCTCCAGCATGGGCACCCCTYGCAGCCACTCCCAGGTTTCAGCATGTGTCTCTTCCTAAGGGGCCCCAGCAGGACTGCTCARTACCTGAGTGCCTTGGGTCTGCTTGAGAAGATGCAGCTGCTTTCCCATTGTGTTTTTCTCCAGACTTTGGTGGCGCTGCCAAAAAGCAGAGACAGGTAAAGCCTCAGCATGGCTCAGGCATGGAGGATGCAGGAGAATGGGGAGGTTCCCTCTAGCTTTCYTTCCCAATATGAGAGTCAGAACATTGATCTGAACCTCAACTCATGAGAGGGATCCCACTCTGGGCTGCTTTTGTGCTTTTGGCCTCTAGSAACTCAGAGCAAGCTTTGGGATGAAGCTGCAGGAGGAGCTACATTTGTGAAAGTCCTGTTTTTCGTGATCYGTGGAATAGGATCCAGATGTCTTGAACCCAGCACGCTTTCAGCTTGGCTGTTGATGTGACATGCAGGAGTAGGCACTGGGGACAAAGCCTGGTGCCACACAGCAACCCTGTGCTTACCACAGAACAGCAATTACCTGCCATGGCAGTGGCTGGCATCAGCCTTGGAATGAGCAACTTGCATTTCACATGGAAGGAAGATTTAAAGGTAAATGTGCCTCCCTCCAACTAACTTACGWGTGGGATTACGCATGTACTTGACAACTGGACCTGACCAAGATTTCAGCAGGCTATGAGCCTCGATATCTGAAAGAAAATTGCACATKAATAAGCTGTTGACACATTGGTGATAATTATTCATTCAAAGAAAGGGACATTGAGAACTTACCTGTTCCAGACTCGTCCAAGAGCTCCAAACCATCTTTGTGCCAAGCTGCCAGAGAATCTGCTAGAGACTCATCTAGACGCAAGCACAGAGAAATGTTTCCATTGTTGGGATTTTCTGCTTTTGTGTACAGAAGCAGTGGACAGGGGTCAGRTAACAATCTGGGAGCCAGATGTCAGTGAATCGCCAGAGCTGCAGAGGAGGACCTGGGAACCTCTCAGCTCAACACTCTTTAACCACAATGAGCAACATCCCTGGAGGAGGGATGGACCCTTGGGAGTCTTCTAACAGGAGAGCACTAACACAGAGGAAACCCTTAGTAAAGCACTGGAGGAAAAACCAACTTGGTGAGAAGACCCCACTAGCCCATGAAAGAGGAAACCCTTAGTAAAGCACTGGAGGAAAAACCATCTTGGAGAGAAGACCCCACTAGCCCATGGAAGAGGAAACCCTTAGTAAAGCACTGGAGGAAAAACCAACTTGGTGAGAAGACCCCACTAGCCCATGAAGGAGGAAACCCTTAGTAAAGCACTGGAGGAAAAACCATCTTGGAGAGAAGACCCCACTAGCCCATGAAAGAGGAAACCCTTAGTAAAGCACTGGAGGAAAAACCATCTTGATGAGAAGACCCCACTAGCCCATGGAAGAGGAAACCCTTAGTAAAGCACTGGAGGAAAAACCATCTTGGTGAGAAGACCCCACTAGCCCATGGAAGAGGAAACCCTTAGTAAAGCACTGGAGGAAAAACCAATGTGGAGAGAAGACCCCACTAGCCCATGAAAGAGGAAACCTTTAGTAAAGCACTGGAGGAAAAACCAACTTGATGAGAACTTTCACTAGCCCATGGAAGGCTGCACCAGTGCTGGCAGCTTACCTGCTTCCTGAGCTTTATGTGGAACATACATGGCAGCCCCAGGATGCAGGGCCACCAGGAGGATGAGGAGGAAAAGACGGTGAACAAGGGCCATGATCTGCCTTCCACCACACTGCTGCTGCTGCAGTCAGGGATGGGGGCTGAGCACTTGGTTCTTATGGGCAGTGCAGTGCCCTGGGGCTCTGTGACCTCATGGCCCCGTGCAGCCCGGGCAGGGCTGTGAGGGGTTGGCACTCAGGGTTCTCCTGGAGAGCCTGGAGCAGCGTGGAGCTGTGTGACCTCATGGCCCTGGAATGAGCGTGCAGCCAGGGTGGGGCTGTGTGGGGATGGAACTCRGGGTGCTCTGGAGCACATCCCATAGGGCAGCTCCACCCAGGGGCTGGGACACGGCCCCCCACAGCAGGATCAATGCACCCTCAACAAGTTTGCAGACAATGCCAAGCTGAGTGGTATGGTTGACATGCCTGAAGGGTGGGAAGCCATCCAGAGGGATCTGAACAAGCTTGAAAAGAACCCTGAGGTTAGGTAAGACAAAATACAACATCCTGCACCTGCAGTGGGGCAAGCCTCTATGTCAAGCTGCAAAAGGCTGTAGTTCTGCTTGGTTAACCAGTGGAATTTTTAAAATAAGGCTAAACGAGTATTTTAATAAAATACTGCATTTAGTTGAGTCGTTTTGTTTGTCAAGTAGATACAAGAGGAAAAAAATATCTTTGGGGCTTTTTTTGTGGTTCAATTTTTTTTTTACTGTAATAGCTTGATACCAAATACTGCCAGACAAAAACACAGAATATTTCAAAGAACTTCCCAGTTGTAACTCTGATAATCAGTGGCTTGTCATATARACTTTCTTCTAGAAAGAGATTAGATGCAACAAATTCTTCACTAAGCATTGTGAGGCACTGAAATGCTGCTGTCCATAGAAGTGGTGGATGCCCCATCCCTGRTGTTCAAGTGGAGGCTGGATGGGGCTTKGAGCAAYCTGATCTAGTGGAAGATGTTCCTGCCCATGCCAGAGAGGTTAGAATGAGATTTTCTTTAAGGTCCCTTCCTACCCAAATCATTTTATGATTCTGTGATTGACTTGGAAGCCTCTGACTTTCTGAGCTGGCTGATGTCCAGGATTTCTGTCTGTTGTGTTCTTCACTCAATAGTCCAACAGATTTATCTTCTCTCAGTTCCCCTGAATCAAAGGTCATTCTTGAGCTTTGAGAAAGAACATGACTTCCAAGCACAGAACAGTTTTGATACTGAAAAATTCTCAGCTTATTGCCACACCAAACCCATTCTTTCTTTGGTTCTCCTTGCTTTCCATATCTTTCCAACCCATGTTGTGTTTGCTGGCTGGACGTATCAGAAAGACATCTATTAACAGAAGAAAATGTCTTTATGTGACTGAATGGACCAGTTCTCTACCTTACGTGACTTTGGAACTACTTTTCCTCACCTTTGTTGCTGTGTCCTTGAATTCTTTATTGAGCCTGAAGAAATCTGATCTCACTTTTAAAGAAGATCTACTTAGCAGCACTTTTGGTATGTTAATGTTCCCAGTGTTCTTTTGGACTGTGGTTAAAATTTCTCTAAGGATGGGTTAAACTGTTCCTTTCCCAAAGGATGTTTGTGTTGAGTGGGATTTGAACTCTTGTGTTCACATATCTCTATGCAGATATGTATTTCTTATAGCTGTAACTTCTTCCCTTGTAGGTAGGGAAAATTCAGGCCATTGGCTGGCAACTCCCATCCAAAGTTGTTCCTTAAAATTAGGGAGAGTATTGTTGGTACTGTGTAATTTTATTCTCAAGGTGATTTTCTGATTCTGCCTTAATTCACCTAGACCTCTTTTGGGGAGAAGACTCTGCTGTGCTTTCCTTCTGTTAGGAAAGGTGTTTTTTCTTGCAGCTGTCACAGAATGGTTTTCAAATGATCCCTGGTGCTGGCAGACTCAGACTGCTGTCCAGATGGAACATCCCTSCACTAACAGAGTGCCTTCTGGCAGGTCTCAAACTACCTCACTTTCCTTGAAGAATCTCTCAGAAACATTTGACAAGCAGTCAGCTGAAATCATGTACATTTTCAAAGAACAGTGTGTACATTAATAAAGTATTTCAAGATCATTTCAAGATCCTTGACACTGCAGTTTTCCAGTCACTATTTTTAAGAAGGATGCCAAGTCCCACCTCCCAGGTTTTTAAGTTGTACCAAGTTAAATCTTGAAGTCACTAATCTGAAAAGAGAAGAGAAGATATATGTGCTGACTGGTGTTGTGTGATGCAGCTGTGCATCCCATCGTAGTCTTTGCTTTCTCAGGGGGACTCCAGAATTCTGCTCCCCATCTCCCCCATGAGCTCAGCTTCAGGTTAGGGGGATCTTCTGCAGGTACTGCAAGAGAAGATTTTTCTGGCCTTCAGAAAAGAAACACGTGTGCACCCGCAGTGTACATGTGGACTGCACATGTGGAAAAAKTCTGGTAACTAATCTCTTTTCTTTGAAAAGTACTGCAGTCATACAGTGGGGTCTTTATGACTGAAGATGCTTCTGAAAATATGTATTGTAGATCTAATTTTACTGAAATGCTGTTTGTGCTTTGTGTAGTGACTTTACTRTGACAGTGGCCATGTTTAAGAAAGATGCAACATTTGCAGTCTTATAAAAACAAAAAACCAAGCAAACCCTCATTTAGATTGGTTATTTGTCCTTGAAGAAGGTCTTTCATGTGATTTTTCTGCAAAATGATAATCTAAAATTTATGCTGTTATAACCTTGGAATGAYTTTTTATGCTTTGTGTATCTTTATATTTTCATTTCAGTAAGTCTCAGCAGTTTTGTACCACGACAAAACTTCCTAAGTATCGATCTGCCTGTGGTGATAGAGACATTTTGCAAGTATCCTTTGAAGTATGTTTGTTCTTTTCAGGAGAGAATGGAACTGTTTAGAATTTAGTGACCTAGCAAMATTCCAGTTGGATATCATTTTAGACAGGATGCCCTAAAATATTTCTGTAGAGATTTGACATCTTTATCCCATCTCTTCATTGATTATTGTCCATGCACCAACCTAAAAATGAAATCTCTCACTTTCATGTGCTTAAAACCATATTTTTGGGCAGTGTTTTTTTTAACTCTTGAGGGTGAGCCTTAACAGATGTGATGAGAAAGTCAAACTAAGCCTGAATTTTAGTCAAGAAAAGTGACATGTTCTTGCTAGCTTTGCAATGGCAGAGTTTTATTAATTTTGTGTCATTATACTGAACTAAATAACAGGATATGTTTGTTCTTTTTTTTTTTCTCCAAGAGAAAAGAAAAAAGCTATTCAAAAAGCAGCATAATTCAGTTTACTCTTGTTATTAATGAACAAGATTGTATGTATACACATACATAAAGATTATTAGACTTGAATGTGGCTGATTTAGGAACTCTTAGCCTTAGAAACTGAAATGTTTATGTCTTCTTGCCTGGCCATGGAGGATGGAGGTACACACTGCAGTTAACAAGGCTTTTCCACAGTAAAAATTATCTACCTGTGCCTCATTCTCACATGCACACACTTGTATAAAAATCCACTCAGCTTTTCTGGCTAACAGGTAAGTAGGAGAGATAAGCCAGATTTCTGATTATATTCTAGTCATTTACTAGGGAGTGTTTTGGACAATATTCCTAATCATGATTTCATATTTGGGTCTAGAATATCTTCCTAGTTCAGGCATGGTGTCAGAGCTATAACCTTCCTCCAAAACCACACAAAGCAAGTAAAGAAGGTGGTGGTTTTGCTGTCTCCTACTTTCACTCATGTTGTGAAGAGTGCAGGTTTAAGTATCCAAACTTATGGCTTAAAAAATAAAAAATCTATAAAGACAGTTCTTTGAGCAGGTATGTTATGTAAAACTAATTTTACTCATATAATTTCTGTGAAATGGAATGGCAGCTGGAAAAATAACCTTCATATATCTCTCTCTGCGTACTAGAAATAAAATACATACATCTTTATAATTTTTTTTTTACATCTGTTTTACATTTTCTTGGATACTCTTCATGAACCTTAACTAAAGTCAWCCAGGTACCTCATCTCACTCTCAGGAGCACTGGCAGTTATCAATGCTGTACCCTGCTTTGCTTTGGATGGTCAGTGGATATTAAATTCCTTCCTGGAAGCCACACTCAGCTCCCTAATTGTAGAAAAACACAACAGAGAGCTTGTTGGCTTTTTAATTTTGCTTGCTGGTAGTGCACTTTTGGCTGCCAATGTTGCACTGGGACTTTGGATGGTGACAGCACGATAGAAGRTTGGATATTCTTCCATCAGTTCTCMAAGTACACAGAAATAATAAATCTATTGCCTTTTTAAATTTGTCCAGTACTGAGATTGAAATAATTCCCTTAAAATGACATTGAAAGAACAATCAGCTGGTGGTTGCTGTTTTAATTTAAAACTTTACAGCACCATGCCTGTGGTCATGGGAAATGTAATAGAAAAAAGTAGGAGCCTTTTTATTTATGCTTTAAGCTCTGTATTAATTTTGGAGAAATTGCATTTTAAGATTTCACAGGAAAAGATCAGACTTSATAAATTCAGATATTAAGTAAGGGAATTATTTTGCCTCAAACATTTGTAAAGTGGGAGGACAAAAAGATGTTTCATTTTATAATGTGAGTAATTGTCAGAAGWTCTGTGTGGGCTGTGATAATTTCTCAATCAGCATAGTTTTGAGTGACTTGTTTTGGATTTTTTGGTCTGGTATTCTACCAGACTGGATTCTAGGAAGCCCTAAAGTCTGGTCTYAAAATGAGGAAAAGCTAAATGCTTACCATGTGTTAATGGGAAGAGAGCATCYGTTTGGGTTAGTGACTTTCCTTTTCAGCTGGCCAAAATGATTGGAGAAATGTCCTCAGGATGAAGATGAGAAGTCTGCTAAAAATGAAGAATGTGGGAGGATAACAACGCCCACATGTTTGTTTTGCTTACAGTTTCAGTTGTATATTATCATAGGCAGCTGAAGTTTTTTTTAAAGGCAATATTTGTCAGCAATAGCTACAAGGTAACTGAAATTCCATTTCTGAGTGCTGAAGTATGCTGTGCACAGTTTTCCTAAGTGATCTGTAATGTTGTGTGTTCTACTCAGAAAATAATMCTGTATTCTACCTGTTCACAGTTAAAAGTGAAACCTATTGTTTTTATGGTGTCTATCTTCTGATGCTATGCATGTAATATGTACAGTAACTCACTGATGATTTTCTGTATTTCAAAGGGTTGTTTTCCTTTGCTAGGATTCATTCTGTTCAAAGRTAGCTAACAAAGATATTTAGCTGAGGCTGGTCTTAGATATGAATTGTTTAGAGGAAAATTATGATTGTGAWTTGAACTATTTAAACATTTGGCTTTGTTCTCTGAGATGAATACAGACCATACCCTTATTCTTAAATGAGCAGTGGAAGAACAGTCAGTGGTTTACTGATACACTCTGAAGTTCTTTAAATATTTTATACCCTGTAGGATTATGTATTCAATGTCATGTCCTCATGTGATAGATTGCCTAATTTATATAAATCAAGTTCAGTCAGAGCTTTGCCTCAGTATAGGCTGATATTTAAACAAAAATGCTCTAGTTTAGGAGCCTAAATATTTAAAATAGGAAATTTTTGAAAAATACCCTGCAATTTCTGCCTCATACAGTGCTCCCCATTGGAGCTGCTGCAGCTCAGAGTTCCTTTGCAGAAATGGCCTTTCCATCAGGAGGTGAAGTGGAACCTAAACTCACAGATCCTGCAACATTCATGACCAGGTGAAATAGGTTCTTCTGGCTCTTGAGGTGAAAGTCTGGGTAATTTTCAAAGTGGGGCTGAGCCCAATTCCTGGTGCTACTGCATGGATTCATAACTGTGATGTTTGCATTTGCCCACTGATGTGTACTTTTGCAGAGGAGCTTTAGATACACTCCTTTCTTAAGATGATGCAAGCAGTAATGAGAGASCACATTTATTTATTTGCTGTTGGCTAGCTTACATCCCTTTCCAGTGCTACCACAGGCTGGGTGGGCCCTTGAAGTTCACCTCTGTGGGGTGGCTGGCCCATGCCTCTCCTTTTCAGTCATTTCAGCCCAGGCAAATCAGCTCAGGTCCTTGTAAGAAAGAGTAAATCCTCCAATTGACCCAGTGTGAGCTGGTGCCTTTGGGGACCTTTAAAAATAACCCTGAAAATCAAACTTGTCATTACTTCTGGCAAACAGACAGAGGTTTCAGAGCAGCAGTTCTGATGGTCCATCTGCCATTCCCCATTCCTCCAGGAGCAGCCTGGTCCTTGCACAAAGCCTGGCTCAATCTCTGTTCTACCCTGCTCTCTTCCTCAGTGGCTGTTTACTCATCTGAGCTCTTCCTTCCTCTGTCTTGTCCTATCTTCAGTGCAAAAAAGGTAATTTGCACTTGGAAGTTTTAATGTAATTTAATAAGAATATTTGCTTTCAAAATATGTCAAGTTGATACTTTATTTATTCATGTCGACTGCAATGGCTTGGAACAATCCTTTAACATAGTGCCTCTCATGGAGATGTAGGCAACAGATTTAGAAAAACCCAAAGTTTCTGAGCTTAAAATTACATCTATAATGAGGCTGGCATGTTGTTCCTCGTTATTTAGTGTGCCACCAAAACATGAAGTTTTATCAAACTAAGCTAAAGCCAGTTTACTTTACACAATCACTGAAAGCCACAGTTTTACTAAGAAGATATTGGTCATGGTTTTAGCAAAACAGACACACTAGTGTCTGTTAATCTTGATACCCTAGAAGAGAGAGTACTAGAAGTGTTTAAAAATTATGGGTCCATTTCTGCACATGCTAAAGTTCTACTGAGTAAGGGTCRATTTAGGTACATACAGATGCTTTGAATCAAAACTTTAAGCAAACTGGGTGTGAATGGTGACCCAGCATATTTTAGATTAGTTTGGACTAAAATAATAGTTAGTCTGGGCCAATCTCTGAAGAAGATGTTCATTGAATCCATTTCATTCTCCTGTAATCCTAACATGGATTACATTCTGATTAGCATGTGCCATCCATGCAGTTACTGAGAGGGTTTTTGATCATTTATTTAGCAAGAGAAAACACAAACAGACACAGTGATTCTTGTGTCTTGTATTTTTACTGGAGTATTTATGATGTTTCTTGGTTTTGTAAAAACAGAAAGGAAGCCTTTCCTTAAAATTAAATCCTTCTACTTATTAAATTAGCCCCTCAGAATCTTGAATACAGAATCCATCAATATAATTATAGGGCATATTGACTGGACTGTAAAACACAGCACTCTTAAAGATTGGATGGCTGCTACTRTTTATGTATATATTATGCATTTTAAATCTGTATCAGATGGAAAAACTAATGTCTAATATTCAGAAATGTTATACCTAGCTTTTATTTGAAAATTTCCAGAAGAATTCCATAATTATAATCATTGTTCTGCTTTGKTTTTTTATGAAATTGTTTTTTCTATCTGCAAATATTGACATAGCATGTTCTGATAATGCATGATACATGAAAATGGCAAACCCCTTAGCATGGGGGATGTTACATGCTCTTTGCTAACTTTGGAAATTAAAACCAGCTTGCTTCTTTATAAGTTAAATGAAAAAGGCTTCATTAGAAAAAATATTGACAAACTTGCAGATTAGTCATCCCAAATTATGAACCACAGTGGAAAATTCATCAACTCATCCTTTTTATTTAGAATGAAACAACCAACTGTATTGATAGTTTCTTTCAGTGGTAATTCTGCATTTGTGGATATGTGTGTATACATACATTTGTGTAACAGATACATGCATAGCCATAGAATGTATTATCCATTTTTAGGAGTAACTTACAACAGTCCTACATATTCTGCAATGTAGGCTTTTGTTTTTCTTTTTCCTTCTCTCTGTGAATTCTCCCTATGGTTTTCTCTGTATTTGAAAATAGAAACTTATGKTTTTCTCCCATAAGCTATCATAACTTCTTTATTAAAGAAGACAAGTGATGGGAAAACGATGTAATGGCAGCTGCATGAGTTTTGTTCAGCTGATGTTTAAAATATGTTTCTTACTTTCTGTGAAGTCTCAGCTTCAAGCATGGTAAACACAGTTTTTTCAGAGCAGCAAAAAGAGGTCAGCCTTGGAATCCATGACTCTCTTAATGCTGTTGTTTGTGCTGTTCTGAGTGAGAACTGGGATGAGCAAGACTGAAGAAGTAAAGTTTTCAGTTCAGACCTTTCCATGGCAYTAAGGGTATTTCAGCTTTCTTTTAATAAGGATTTACTTTGTTTATTTTAGCACTTCAGCAATCCCAATGTTCCCATAGCTTCCCATACATTTTACATGATGTCACAGGGTGGCATGTAGGAATATTTTCAAGATGAATTATGTTTGTCTTGCAAATTCAGAGCTTTCATATAGATCTGGATATCCCTACATGTCACAGGGTGGCATGTAGGAATATTTTTAAGATGARTTATATATGTCTTACAAGTTCAGAGCTTTCATATAGATCTGGATATCACTGATGACCAATGAAGAAGGCTTTTAAAGGTTTATATAGCCTACTTKGTATTGAATTGTTTTTAAAAGATGTGAGTTAAACTCTAGGTGTAAGTAATTATTTGTAAAATGTGCATTCTGTACACCCATATTCAGACCAATTTCCACAACCAGTCTTGCCTCAGCTTTGTTCTTKTAATCTTGTGAGTAAGGAATCTTGACTCTTAATCCAGATAAGATCCAACACTGAGAAATGTTTTATACCCTYTTTGTCCTGAATGTCACATAACAGATGAATTATTTGATGTGTCTGAATTACACACACTGTGTCAGTGCAGCCCTGGAGAGCATTGAAAGCCAGCAAAGAACTTGACTTTATGGCAGCTTTATGAAACTTTCACACTGCTGAGCCAGYGTGAAAGGACAGGAACAAAGAGCAGGATATGACACTGCAATTCTRTTCATTCCATTTACATTGTCGTGAAACCAAAAAAGAACTTGTAATTAACATTTCAGAGCAGGAAGATAACGTTTTCCAGCCCTTCACTGAATCATTCATTGACTGGTTATCAAACATTTTTGTTAACACTTTGTCATTCCCACAATAAATATGTGTTGAATAAGTAGTTGTAGCTTATTTTGTAAAATGGATATTTCTCACCTCTGATTTTGCAGCATCATTGTATAATTGATCTTTATTGATAYTAAGTTGAAAATTTGGAGGCAGTTTCCAAACCATCACTACAAAAATCTATTTCCAAGTTGTTTGTTAATKCTTTAAATCCATCTTTTCCTTACATAACATTCCAGTTGATCTTATCTGAAGCCTGTCAATGGAATATGTATTGTTTAGATATTCATTGTGAGGTTTTTTTTTCCTCTACATGGCCTTATTTTTCACACTGACTCACAGCTGTGGAATGTTAGATTTCTAGACCCTTTGTTCCCACTATGCATTGTTCATGATCATGTTTTTTTTTTTTTTTTTAAAAAAAAAAAAAAAAAAAAGCTTCATTTTGAAAATGTCAGCTAACAAATATATGGAATACTGAATAATGTATTGTGATTTTGTTTTGGTTTTTTTCTCTATTTAATTAACCAAACAATAAGTATTGTTTTCTATGTATGATAAATATATCCTGCAAATAAATTCATTGTCTRATTGTTGATGTGCTTAAGTCTGTTTTTTTAAAAATAAGGTAGAGTGACATAATTCCTTATTTATGGCAATTGCCATATTCTCTCACAGATTCTTGTTCTCTTTGTATGTGATTCATATTCTCTCTCTGAGTACCAGCAAGATACACCATCCTTTTCAATGTCTGTCCACCTCCTAAAAATAATAATAACTATCATTTTACTTTCTGTTATTTGTCACCTTATCACACTAGTAATTGAAATATTTGATGTCATCATCAAGGTAAGCAAAACCACTGCTATGGCCAGTGCTGTGTGCAAATGTCAGATCTTCAAAAGTGAACTTACATATGACAACCTTTGATTTGTGCATGTGATATCTGATGATTTTTGCTTTTCCTTTTTATGGTTTCTATACCCTCTGTGCATTCCCCTGTACCCCTTAGCCCACATGCTTGTAATTCCTGATATTCCAGCTTAGTTTAGGAGTTCTGCTGGGCAGAGAGACCAAACATCCTGAGGAAGGGCTCAGTGTGCCCTGTGCTATCTTAAACCCGAGCTCAGCCTTGGGTGAAGCCTTCTGTCCAGAACATCTTGTGTAAACTGAGCTCTGACCTCATCTGGGGGGATTCATTAGAATAGGGGGACATTACTGCATTTGTGAAGTTTCTTATTGGAGAATCCTAGATAGATATGCTAATTCCTGAAACCTATAAAACTTGTATCTTATTGGGGAATCCTAGATAGATATGCTAATTCCTGAAACCTATAAAACTTGTATCTTATTGGGGAATCCTAGATAGATATGCTAATTCCTGAAACCTATAAAACTTGTATCTTATTGGGGAATCCTAGATAGATATGCTAATTCCTGAAACCTATAAAACTTGTATCTTATTGGGGAATCCTAGATAGATTTGCTAATTCCTGAAACCTATAAAACTTGTATCTTATTGGGGAATCCTAGATAGATATGCTAATTCCTGAAACCTATAAAACTTGTACCCGTGCTGTACACGGGGGTGCATTCTGCCATCAAGTTGTGCACCTGGGATCCCAAATCCCGAGGTAAAACCCTTTTTACCCCCTTAACAGTGTCTGTGTTATYAAAAACTGCCCTAAATTGTTCTTTGTTGCTTACTGGACACGCTGTTACTTTACACAAGCAGAGCTGTTTCAGCAATCGTGGCTTTGTTCCCAGATAAAAGATTRCCATGAGAAATGGGCACAAAGCACAGATTGGACACATTGGGAGGATTTCCCAGATAGGTCGCTCTGCAGTTTTTGCAATTTTCTGAATTGCGTTTTTCTGGCATGAGGAGATTACTTTTTTTAACTCTTATCCATGCTAAAGGTAGAGACAAAAGCTCCTTTTTTCTTTTTTTTCTTTTTTTTTTTTCTTTTTTAAGTATTAGAATTTTAGAAGTTTTTAGGAGAATTCTGAGATTTTTTCAGTTGGTTTTGAAAATGTTATCTATTACTGTGATTAGGTATGTTCCTCTTGTAGTCTGGAAAAAAATCAGTTGCATTTTAATGTCATGTTGAGGAATGTTGCCTTTTTCACTAATGCAATTTCARGGTAAGATTTTAAAAGAAATCCTTTCTAATTCTTATTGCTGGTAACTTTATAAAGAAAGCTAGTAGAATTCTTCCTCTTTGAACCACCAAGCAGAAGCATTCCTAAACATCTGTGGTAGATCTGTATGCAGTGTGCTCACTTAAATATTTTTTTTAAGTATTTTTACAATCTCTTGACATGACGCAGCACAATACAATTTAAAGTTTGATTCTAATCTCMTGGTGGTAAACTGGGAGATTTCACAACATTTATGAAGACTAAAGCACACAGACTGGGTGTGGCTAAATTTTTGCCTTTTTTTTTTACTTCAGAGAGATGTGATCTGCTGTTTGCTTTCATACTTTTAAGGCTCCAGTGATGTTGAAATAGAATTGGATGTTGTCACCAATTTTGTRTCATATTCTCTACATTTATAATTAGTTCAGCCTTTTTTCAGTTCTTTGCAAGTACCTTAGTGACTGAATGCTATGTCAGTGCCACTTCTGACTGTCTTGAAAACACATGGCCATATATCCTTTTTTATTTCCCCTTCAAAGGAAT